ACGAAGTAGAGAATTAAAGCAAAGGTCTCTTGACATCTAATATCATTTTAATGAGCAACTGATCCATGCCCATTACTCACTAAGCAGTTCAGATTTCACAATCCTCTTTCCGTTCTCAAATACATAAAACAGTGTACGGTTGGTGTCCGTGACACAAAAGTAATTAATTTAAGTAAATTAAAATACTATATGTAAAAACGAATATAATAACCAGTATTGTAAAACACGTTTTCAAAACATACACGTATACAACAGTATTATACTGTGTCAGATCGTCTTGTAGGGTATACGATCTCTTAATACACGTACGCATTCACGCACACACTTCTCGTACTATAGATTCTACATTCAAAATCATAACTTTCGGACTACTTTAGCTCAGAGTCACCAGTTCACAGAATGGACAACAGACAGTAACAAAATTCCCTTACATTACAATATTTCAAGGTGCCTCGCGTATTAACGAGCCCAGCTATCCCCTAAGTTTAAAAACGAACCACAGAACACTTTATTCATTCTTCATGCACACACATTCAACTCACTACTAATACTCGCATCAATAACACACATCGGGAATTTCCTGAAAAGGACACGAATGGATTGCATCTGTTAGATCCATGCGTAGATAGCAGTTGGCGAGACAGTTCTCAACACACATACACATCACAATTAGCAAGGCTCTGTAACCTGACACATCAACGACAGTCCCAAAGCTATGCCATTAATTGATAACAATAGGGAGAGGAGCTTTGTGGTTTTGCGACGAGGTGAATGGGGAAGGCGAGCGAAGTGATACAATTTGCAGTACAAACAGAGCAGCAACGGACAGTCAGTGAGGGTTGACCTAAATCTGATAAATATGATGAGTGAGAGGTTAAACGTTGAACAGGGTTAGGTGAACGCAAAGTGAAATAATGAAGAGAAGTGAACATGGAGAAGAGAATGGGGTGAGGTTGCAGGTTTTCTTGAAGGTGAGCGGGGAGAAATGAGCGAATGAAAGATGAGCAGGAAACAGTGAGCTGGGACTGGTGAGCTGGGGTGGTGAGCTAGGAGTGGTGAGCAAAGGAGTGGTCACCGGGGAGAGGTGACGGGGAAGAGGTGAGCACGGAGAGGTAAGCGGGAAGAAGCGAGCGGGGAGAGGTGATCCGGGTGAGGAGATAGGGTAGAGGTGACCAGGGAGTGGTGATCGGGTAGTGGTGATCGGCAGTGGTGATTGGAAGTGGTGATCGGCAGTGGTGATCGGGTAGTGGTGATTGGGTAGTGGTGATCGGGCAGTGGTGATCGGGCAGTGGTGATCGGACAGTGGTGATCGGGGAGTGGTGATCGGGGAGTGGAGATCAGGGAGTGGTGATCGGGGAATGGAGATCAGGGAGTGGTGATCGGGGAGTGGAGATCAGGGAGTGGTGAGCGGGAGTAGTGAGGGGGAGTGTTGAGCGGGCAGAGGTGAGCGGGGAGAGGCGAGCGGGCAGGGGAGACTCACCGCGCGCGTAGCCGGCCTGGGGTTCCATGACGTGGAAGCCGACGGAGGTGAGGTGGGCGTGGGCGCCGGGCACGCGGAAGTTGAAGGCCTCGTGGAAGGCGGGGCCGTCCGCGTGCGCGGGCGTGCGCGCCGCCGCCGTGCGCTTCGCCTTCACCGTGCGGTACTGCTGGTGCAGCGTCACGCGCACGTACGCCTCGCGCCGCTCGTCGCGGAACTGAAACAGTCACAAAAAGGGACGTGGAACTGAAGTAGACAAGTAGCGCGGACAATACAACGAGTGCGGAAAAGAACAAGAATAACTAGAGGGGAACTGAAAGAGACAAGGAGCGCTAACACTAGTAACAAGTTTCCGCACAAGTCTATATTTTGCTGCTGCTTTTTGCGGATATTTTCCCCACAATGCAAATCTTACATCGTCTATCAGAACCAGTATAAATTACTGTACAGAATTTGATGTCACGCATCCAATTACTCACATGATACGCAGAACATTATGGGTGAAAATATAAAATTAGTCCAACAATGATACCAATAGAAGAAAGTACAACTTTATTGTATTGGTACAACCAAGCTGGGTCATTTGCGACCCCAAAGAGAGAAAAAATTATAATTTTGAAATAAAGGATTTTATTTTTGCTTTATCTACAAACCGGAAGATCTATGACACTCTGACAATAAATAATTGTCATTACGTGTAATCTTCGTTTTACCATTAAACTATTTAAAAATATACCTTTAGGTAGACTCCGATAAATACTCGGAAGACTAGCAAGAGCAAAGCGGGGCAATACATTGCCAGAAAGATCTGGGAGAGATCTTTTCGTCGAGATGTTGCCAATCACTTACGCCCGGAGAATGTAGCAAGAAATATTGCAAACATAAGAAATATTTATGGCCGCAGTCTTGCAAATGTCAAGCCATAATAGCTCCAGTATATGTGTGCAACATTAATTCCGAGACACAGTGAAGAGGAGATCCGATTGCGAGCAGAATGTGGTCCGTGCTCACCTTGAGTACGAACGGTGGATTGGAATGAGGAAGAACAGCATAAATACCTCTTCAAAATATTACTTGAGCGAGGAAGACTATGGCATGTAGAGTACAACCGATTTGCATGCACCTGGATTTTAATCCTTGTCTACGACAACTTTTACGTTGATAACGGAAGACACAATTGTAGTTATGCGAAAATCAGAGATTTATTGAAAATATTTCCAGAAAACAAAACAGTAATGTATAAAATTAGATGAAAGGGTCGGTATTCTTAGCTTATAGTTAATATCCGCGGACTCTATCGAACAAAACCCTAATAAGAACATGCTCAAGCTTCCATTGCCTCGCATGCATCAGCTATTATACGAACGGACTCGCGATAGTCCACGCTATGACCCATTGCAAAAACATTTCCCTTTCGCTTAATCGGGCACTTAAACATTAATTCGCACCCAAAACTTGCGCTGTTGGAATGCACGAATCAAACGTGTTGATTATTGCAAGTTGAACTTTTGCGGGATTGGTTTTTCTGGGGGAGGGCGCCTCCCTAGAGCCCTTAAGGGGCAGCCGCCACTCACCTTGAGCCGCCTTGCCTCGATGACGCTGACGGCGAGTCGGTGCAGGTGCTCGTTGTACAGCAGCGACACCAGCAGCTCCCCGCGGTCCGACGGCGCCTCCTTCACCTCCTGCGCATGCGCACACGCCCCACACTCAATCACTCACTCCGGGCACGTCAACTGATTAGGCCACTACTCTCGCAAGTTTAGTGCATGTTTTATCGCGGTATTTGATTGCTTCCGGCCGCATTATCCGTTAAGGTAATTAGTTTCGCAAGTGTGGTCCACGTTTAATCGCAGGAATTGTTTGCTTCCATCAGCAACATGGTCTAAGGTCATTTGTCCCGCAATTGTAGTGTATGTTTTATCGCGGTATTTGATTGCTTCCGGTCGCAACATCCGTTAAGGTCATTAGTTCCGCAATTGTGGTGCATGTTTAATCGCAGGAATTGTTTGATCTCAGCAGCAACATCGACTAAGGTCATTTGTCCCGCAAGTATAGTGTATGTTTTATCGCGGTATTTACTTGATTACGGTCGCGACTTCTGCGAAGATCATTCGTCTTGCACGTGTAGGGGCATGTTTTTATCGTAGGAGGAGTTGGCGATCTTCCTCCTCTGAATGGCGAGATCCGGCTCCCACCACACGTAGGTTTGCGGGGTTTTCCCCAACCAGGTGTCTCCCACAGGCGAGTCACCGCCCCTGACAGGACAAGCTCTACGTTCCCGACAATTGTGGCAGTGTACCCTACGTAGGTGTGGTTGCAAGTAAGAGGTGAGGAAACGACAAGGAAGAAGAAAGAAAGATCGCGCGCGGTCCTTGGCCCCTTTTGTCAGGGTATTACTCGGGCATTCACCTGATATTGATAGACGAAATCATGGAAAACTGTGGCTCAGAGCAGTCGATCGCTAGAATTCGTCAGTATCCCATTTAAAATAATTTAATAATTTACTTACACTGATTACTAGACACGGTTCTTGTAATAATTAGTCTTTTCGCAGGGAGACCTCCCATTTTTCAGGTATCTTCAGAAAATTCCAATTTCATGCGCGCATATACCCTCATTTCTGCATGAGAGTAGACAAATATGAAATTCATAACAGGCACACTTTCTTGAATACTATATGATCAATGCGTGAAAATTGACTGTTTAAGCGGCATAAAATTGCAAAAAATACGAATAACAAATAACAATAAAGGTATAGCGGTAGCGTTGTGATTAAGAAATTCGTTGGCTAACTTGGGGATTTATTTCCGTCAGTTTCTATTTAAGACAATCCAGAGATCTTTTCAGTCTCCATTACAAGTGAGTAATGACATCTACTGACTTCATTGACTATTTATAAATAATAAAGATACTGCTTAAACATGAAACTATCCATGGCTTCGTCTTCCTTTTTTCCGAAATCATAATATCTTTATTACCATTTATTTAACGTATGCGTTTAAAAAAAATATGAAGTGTCTGACCATTATTCTGTAACCTTTACCTATCTGTGGTTGACACAGATATCAACAACATTCAAATTGCAGGGGCAGTGCCCTCTGCAAGAGGTTGGAAACCCCTATTTATATATATTCTGAGATATTTGAAATATAGTGTCCGTGCCGACCGAAGCAGTACGAAGCAACGGAGAGGAGAAGGCTTTCCGACGCGAGAGGAAGGTCGAAAAAGTGTGCTGTTGGGGAGTGGTGGTGAGCGTGGTGAGAACGAAGAAGAGAAACGGACACTGAAGCTGCTGCACCTAGGTTTACGAGCGTCCATTTCTTACACCACATTGCCGTGTAAGAACCAGGATCTGCGCGGAGACGTATATTCGGCGTCACCAGCCCGCTGACCGTCGCAAGCTTCGCGCCGTTGGGTGAGGCAAAACCTCGAGAAAAGGTCGGTAATAATCGTCTTTCCTATGTTTTTCACCTTATCTTTCGCCACGAATTTACCATGACTGCGAGAAGCATCAAGTTCGCCCAGTTCGCTAAGACGTAGGAGGCTCTAGGCTGTATTTCCGTAGTGGCCCAAGCCACCCTTTAACGATTAGGTGCAGTGGGCGCATGTCATGACATCCTCCAGTGTAAATAGCGGCCATTAGACCCCGCATGAATAAAAAGTAAGTGCAGAGCGCAACAAGCCACCATTTAAGTGAATACTGTAGTGAGTGTCATTCACTTCAAAATTTATATAGAACGACACTTCACCTTTGGAGGTAAAGCCCTCATCAGGTTAATTACGAAATGATCATAAATGATCGAAACGTTCAACTTCCACAAATTGAGTTATACTTCGCGAAAAGACACTTTCTGACCTACTACGGGCCGAACACACCGAAATATGTACGTCAAAAATGTGCTATTTAAATTACATTAGTTGTCGTTAACTATAATTAGTTGTTTAGTACATTATCCCAGATATTTAGTAGAGATTTCTCTTCTGATAGCACAGTAGTGCGTCGCGCTGGTGTAACTCTCCATTACGGTTAGCGTATCGAACTGATATACCCAAGTTGGCGGGTTCAAACCCGATCGAAGGCCTGGATTTTTAAGGGTGAGATAAACCTTCGTACGCCTTTCTTCGGAGGGGAAGTAAAGCCGGCTGTCCCATGTTAGTCGGCTTACTTGCATGTAAAAGATCCTCAAGCCTAAATGACGTAGCCTCTGAGCTAAATTAAAATCGCCTGTTTCTCGCCCAAGAAATACCTCCTTTCCCCGCTAGTTGGTGAAAGGAGCGTAGCGAAATTTGCGTGGTCAGACGGACGAGCGGGCCCGATGGCCCGAGTTTCGCCACGCATTCATTCAATTCAATTCAATTCAATTCAGTACGAGTTCCGTCGGCTGGCCTGTGGCGTTTTCGACTCGTCATCTCCGCGCTCTCCCGAGGCTGGATTTCACTCGCGGCGAAGGCATCCGGCAACCCGAGCGCCCCCGCGAGAGCCCATCGCGCCCCGCCACTCGGATTGCAGCGCCACGGCTTAACCTTTGCCCTCCGGAAAGTCGCGCTCGGCGACGAGGTCACGTGCCGAGCTACGAACGGCACGTGGGAGACCGCCCGGTCGTAAGCGGGGTAAAGAGAAAACTTGTGAACACGTCGCGTTCCGAATAAGGCTTTCTCCTGGTCTTGCTTTCCGTGCCAGCATTTTCATTTTAAATGAAATGTTATTAACGTGTGCGAACGAAGCGTATTTCGGTGCGTTAAAACTATTTATGCCTAGTTATAGTATACAAAGGGATTCGCCGCCTCCTGTTTTCGACTCGTGCGCGAATCACCTGTTTCTTGCTCGTGTTAGGTATACGTGTAGTCTTTCGGATAGTTTGGTGCTACAGCCATGCGGCTGAACATTGATTAAATACAGAAAGTCGACACAAGGAAAGTAGGAAGCGAGAAAGGAGGGGCGTGACGGGCGTAGCGGGGTGTGACGGGCGGGGAGGGGCGTAACGGTCGGGGCGTAACGGTCGGGGCGTAACGGTCGGGGCGAGACGGTCGGGGCGAGACGGTCGGGGCGTGAAGGGAGACGCGTTGTTAGGAGGGGCCTCAGTGAGTGAGTGAGTGCGTGCGCACCTTCTCGAGGTCGAGGGCGAGCAGCTGCTGGTCGGCCAGGGAGGCCGGCGAGTGCTCGCGCAGCGGCACCGCCACGTGGCCCACCTCCTGGAAGCGCTTGGCGCGCCCCGCGTCCACCACCGTCAGCTTCAGCGTGTGGTCGCACAGCTCCTTCGTCGGCACCTGCGCACACAAACACTCCAAGGCCCACGCACTTCTCTTCCTCGCCACATAGAACACATTGAAGGTCTCGTTAACAGCTACGTCATTAGCCACCAATTTAGATTAACGACGATGTTAACTAAGAAGTTAAAGAGAAATCCCTAAGACGTCTCACCTGGAAGACAAAGTTTTATCTAAGGGAAAGCCATAGATATAGAGAGACATCCTTGGGATTCAGCTGGTGGACAAATATCTCGTCGAGGGTAAACAGGAACTCTAGGAACAGGAATTCTATGGGGCACAAGATACGTCCCTGTTCCTCACATGGAAAAGAAATATCTCATCTCGGAAACTTCACAAGTAAAGAGGAACTCTAGAAATTATGATTGGGCACGAGTTACGTCCTTGCGGCTCATCTGGAAGACGAGAACATCGTCGAAGCATGTTTATTGCGCTCGAGAGAAGTCCGTAAGGTGTCTCACCTGGAAGACAAACGTCTCGACGCGGATGAAGAGGAACTCCAGAAATAGGAACTCTATTGGGCAGGAGAGACGGCCTTGGGGCACACCAAGAAGCATAGGTCTTGACGAGGAACTCTATTGGGCAGGAGAGACGTCCTTGGGGCACATCAGGAAGCGTAGGGCTCATCGAGGAGCATTCATAGATTAAGTTGAACTCTAGGAACTCCTAGGAACTCTATTGGGCACGAGAGTGGTCCCTGAGGAGTCTCACCTGGAAGACAAACGTCTCGTCGCGGCTGAAGAGGAACTCCAGAAATAGGAACTCTATTGGGCAAGAGAGACGACCTTGGGGCACACCAGGAAGCATAGGTCTCGACGAGGAACTCTATTGGGCAGGAGAGACGTCCTTGGAGCATACCAGGGAGCGTAGGTGTCGTCGCGGTGCATTCATAGATTAAGAGGAACTACATAGGAACTCTTTTGCGCACGAGATAAGTCCCTGAGGAGTCTCACCTGGAAGACAAACGTCTCGTCGAGGATAAAGAGGAACTCCAGAAATAGGAATTCTATTGAGCAGGAGAGACGTCCTTGAGGCACGCCAGGAAGCGTAGGGCTCATTGACGAGAATTCATAGATTAAGAGGAACTCTAGATATAGGAACTCTTTTGCGCACGAGATAAGTCCCTAAGGAGTCTCATCTGGAAGACAAAGAGACATCTGAAAGAAAAAGTCGAGGGAAAGGAGGAACTCTAGTAATAGGAAGACTATTGGGCAGGAAAAACGTCCTTGGGGCACACCAGGAAGTGTAGGGCTCGTCGAGGGGCATTCATAGATTAAGAGGAATTTCACTGGACATGAGAAAAGTCTCTGAGGAGTCTGACCTGGAAGACAAAGGTCTCGTCGAAGAACGGGCTGCACGTCTTCTTCTTGGCGCGCGTCTGCAGCGGACGGCGCTCGTCGGGGGCGAGCGCGAGTCGCACGAGCGGGTCGCACGCGTTGGCCGTGCCCACGACGCGCGACGGCAGGTTCTTGGCGCGCAGCAGCGTCACCAGCAGCTTCTCCGTGGCCGCCTCGTAGCGCAGCGCCACCCACAGCCGCCCCAGGTGGCCCTCCGGGAACGCCTCCTCCTCGCCCAGCCCCAGCCCCGCGCCGCCCCCGCAGCGGTACAGCGACGGGTCGATGGCGCCCAGGCCGTAGTAGCCTGCGCACACACGCACACGCCAGCACTCAGAGGGGGGAGAGACATGTGCATTACGACTACTACTACTACTACTACTACTACTACTTACTACTACTGACTATACTACTAGCGTACTACCTTTACTCTACTATGCCACTACCACCACCACCACCACCACTAAACCACTACCACTACCACTATCACCACTACCACACTACTACTACCACTACTACTACTACAACGACGATTTCTACTAGTACACTACTACGGCTACTACTACTACTACTACAATACTCTCAGAATTATTATTATTATTATTATTATTATTATTATTATTACTATTTTATTAATTTTTTTTTTTTTTTTTTTTTTTTTTTTTTATTATCATTATTATTATTATTATTATATGTATTATAGTATTATTATTTTTTATTCATATTATTAAGGTTAAATGGAATAAAATAACTTTCGATTTATACAATAAACTGAATAACGGACATCACGAATTTTTCATTTCCTCTATGCTCCCGTAGGTTGTTACGATAAATACACCTGGAATGCTGGGAATTCCAGGTAGAAAAATACTAATCTGACATGAATGTATGTTCAATATTGATAATGGTAGTGATTCTTCTGAATGAGATATCCTATAAAACGTTTAGAAACTATCTTTTAATTAATTTTATCTAACTCTATAATTAAGCTACCGGTATATTATTATTATTATTATTATTATTATTATTATTATTATTATTATTATTATTAGAATAACTTTGAAAAATGACATTCTGGGTCGATGTTGCCCTGACAGTAGAAGCCTGAATGGCATCGTTCTGACATATACGAAATCGGCACAGGTTTCTTTGACGAAGCCAAATATTTTATTGAGGGCGGGGACAAAAGCGATATATTATTATTATTGTTATTACTAGTATTAGTATTATTATCAATATATTAGTATAATACTATATTGGTGTATTATTACATTATTAATATAAATTGAATTCGGGACCACAGAGAACATGGAAATTGCGATTCCAGGATACAAATAATTTATTTTATTTCAACGTTTTGTGGATGATAATATACTGTATACCTATTCAGACACTTCAATAAACATCAACATTGTAAACTGATCCACATTATATAACTTCACAGACAGAGCGACCGAATTATAACAATATATACTTAAATAATTGTACAATAAATACAAAGCAAAACAATATGGATGGTATTCCTGGTTGCAAACGACAGCCACTGTTAACTACAGCTTCGTTACACAAAACCATCTTAATACAATTCTCTTTTTTTCAAACTTTTATGCAACATAATTGAATTCAAATCGTGCTGTGATTAGAACTATTTTTCAGTTCCTTTTCAGTCTGTTTATTTGGCTTAAGAAATTAAATCGGTGCAATGTCACGTGTTTCTTCTAATCTGATAATGATAGCGATTACAAAAAGAGAGAGAAAAGTTATGAAGTTGTCTAGTATTCTACGCTAACATGAATCGTTTTACTCATTGTTTTTCTGTACACAAAAGCACTTTAGATTCGAGGGAAATGCACTCAGATTTTTTTGATGGCTTTGATCGCAAAGTCTAGAGGTCGGAGTGAGTTTGTACATAATTGGAAACCTAAGCCAAACACAAGCTATCTTGCTCCGTTCGTACGTGTAGTAATTAAGAAACATTAAAAGTTTAAAAGTTTTATTACCTGCCGAAACAACTTAAAAAGTTTTTGACGAAAGTTTCCGTCGCAAAGGAATCTTAATTCTCCGGGCTGGCTTCTAATGATGCACAAATTAAAGACAATTGAAAACAAGAGAACCGGAGATGAAAGTATAATTCAAATCAACGTTACTGCGAAAGTAATGTAAATATTATTCAGATGTGGCGTGGCTATCCCAATACCTATGCCAACTCGAGTATACTGTCGAAAAATCGCCGTTGATTTGCTGCATCAATACAACACTTTCTCTGTGCTATGTAAACAGTACCTACATGAGAAAGTAAATAAAAGTAATTTAATGTTTTATGAATTAAACAGTTTTTAATATCATTATTATTCTTATTATTAATCTTAATTATATTATATTTATTGTTATTATTATTATTGTCGTTTTATCAGCTGTTTTATTGGTCCATCATCATCATCATCATCATCATTATTATTAATATTATTATTATTATTATTATTATTATTATTATTATTATTGTATAGGTCATTACTGACCACGCTACACGATTAACGGGTGTAGTTATCCCGGGATCAGCTTTTCAGCTGTATCCTTAGATTACAACAAGGTTGTTACGCCTTGAAGTGTGAATTATGAGGTGAAAGGATGATGACGATAGGTGAAGAGACTATCACAAATACGACCATGTCTACGCAGGACTCGTACCTGCAGCCTCCTCGGCTGCCGCAACCGTCTGCGCCACGGGCCCGACTTTATTATTATTATTATTATTATTATTATTATTATTATTATTATTATTACTACTATTACTATTACTATAACTACTACTACTACTACTACTACTATATAATTTGCAAGTTAGTTAAGTAATTAGCTACCACCGAGTTATGCCCATTTGCAGTTCAGATAAATTTATCTCATCTTAATAGACTCGTGTGAAGTTTACGATACTCGCTCGCATCGCTTACAGTAGCACCACTCTCGTGTACTCACTGAAGGAGTTGGAGCGGTGCGAGTGCGCGGCGGAGGCAGCGGGCAGCAGCTCGGCGTCCTCGGCCGCGCTGTTGGTGTCCAGGTCCTCCAGCGAGGACGCGCGCCGCAGCACCGGCAGGCTGAAGCGGATCTCCTTGGTCCTGCGCACAGCAGCGCGCCGCGCGGCGCGTAAGGTAACCTTGCCAGATCGCCCTAAACGTTTGGGTATGATCTCGGTTGAGAAGGGCCGAGAGAGGCTCTGGGCTTCAACTATGCAACCGCAGTCCCTCTGTCCTAGGTTCGAGTCCCGACGGTGTCAGGATTATCGACACTGGCTTGTCAGCTAGGTCGAGGTCAGTTGACGTCTGGAGAAGAATTCTAGCGACCGGCTGATCTCATCAGTAGTTTTCCGTGGTTTCTCCGATCAACACCAGGCGAATGCCGGAGTAGTACCCTAGCAAACGGGCCATGAACCGCGTGCGCTTTCCTACCTCTTCCTTGTCCTATCCTCACTCCTTACACACGCTTACACTGACATGCACAACACTACCACCCATGCCGGGAGACCTGTCAGGAGCTAAGAGTTTGTCCCGGCGGACGGTGCCCCACTGGTGAGAGATATCTGTTTGGGGAAAACTTCGCTAGCCAACGGGAGGTCGGCGGATCTCACCACACTCCGGGGTAAGACCACCCCCATAGACCGGGCAAAAGCATGCACTACACATACGGGACTAATGACGTCAGTTTTTGTCGCTCCCAAAACCATTAACAGTCAATTCAATTAATCAATCATCATCGGTCACACGCGTTTATAACCTCTGCAGGTCTACTAAGTGTACTTGTACCTAACTATGTTAAGAAATTTAACATCCCTAGCAGCATCTTTTAACATCTTTAGCAACGTAAATAAACAATCATCAATTCATCAAGTCAGATGTTCATTTAGTAACAAAACATGGCGATGTACAAAATAAATTAGATTCAGACAATTCAGAACAAAAGTTACTCTTATCAGCTTTTGGGATTATTATTGTTAATTATAATACAAATAGTACAATTAAATGTATAGTAGGAAAATTAATCTCATTTTCCTGGAATTCCACCAAATGAAACTCTTCACTGATCTTCATATTTTCTGACGATCTGAAGGTGTCGTCTCCGGAAATAGACGCGTAAACGTCCTCACCAAATGTCATTTCTTTAGGTATCTTTAGGTTCAGTAGAATTATTTGCAGCCATCTTTACTGGAACCACAGTAAACGAATATTGATTAAATAGACACATCCCAAGCAATAGCTCACGATTTTGTAGAAATGTGCAACAGCAACATACCACGAAATGTTAATGATATTACTGCAGAGGCCCAAAGTAATCTAGTGATGCAACATAATGCCACCGACTTCTCCGTATTAGTTTTCTATTGCTTTTGGTTTCGGCTAGCTATGCGGACATGCCACATCCTCTTGCTAGCTACCTCCTAGCCGACAAAAGTACCTTTTTTACATTTTTTAAACTATTTGGTTGACAAACGGATGGACGGAAAGACGTTTTGTCGTCAATTGATTTTTCGGTATCAAGGACCCACAAAACGGAATTCTGGCTACAGCACGTGTTAGAGGAGTGTTTTCTTAATGTAGCAACTGCAGTTATCCACTTTTTCGCTATAAGGGCCCGGCGATGAATTTTGTCTGCCAAAACTCCGCCGTTTTTACCGCGCAGCATTACATAACTCTCCATCTACTACATACATTACTCCAAATAGACGTATGCATACGGGAAAGTAAAAATCAGGGCGGAGCATAGGGTAGCACTCATAACATTTCCAGGGATGTTAATAGATCTTATTCGAGACCGTCTGGAATGTAACTTATTGTCGTACGGTTTTGCGCCAAGAAACTTGTCCATTACTCGACTGTTCTCATAAATGCTTCTTGTAATGAGATTTTCCTGACTGCGCAGTCACCAACTTGTCACCATGTAACAGGTGCCTACGAGGAACCCTGGAACCTTGAGATATATTAAAAGTTCTTGACTTAGTGTTGGTTAACCTTTTATAGAACTCTCGTTTGTGAATTCATACAACGCATTCATATACGCATACTTGTAGCACAAGCCATGTCAACTAGCTAAGAAATAAACTGCAATCAGCAAGACGCATACTAGCAACATACTTCAATGTCAAAATGTATTGTGTTAGCTTTGCACATTCATGCACTGCATTTGCATTCAACACTGCACTTAGCATTTGATGTTTTGTTTGGAACTACTTACATTACTTCTAATAGAACATTCTATTCTAGACCTCTTTGAGGGTACCTTCCACTCATTTCGGAATAGAATGGGAGAAGCACCTTTTGTAAGACATTTTTTACCCATCTCGCTATATACAAAATTCCCTATTTTCTTCCACTCTATCTTTTCATTTTAATGAAAACATGACGAAAGTTGCGCCTCTTGCTTTCTCTAGTATATCGGGTGAGGCTCCCATTACTTCTACATTATCTTCCATTTCAAAATCCATTACATCGATAGATCCGGACACTTTCGTCGCCATTAAACAGAACACATGAACAACGATCAATAAGTATGTAGCCATGCTTACAGAATAAACAGATCAAGGTGATAATCGCACTACATTGTGGTCAATGTAACTAACACATTTGCATCTAAAACGTCAATTCGACCGAATGGTGCACATATAAATGAAAAAAAAGCAACCTTCACCTCATTCTACTATATCAGGAACTACTGCTGGACACTGCCGCAGTCTAGTGGTGGTGGTTTTAGCGCACCCCACTTACTCTCTCGGACATAACCACAACTAGATGGATTATGTAACACATTGCATGTCAATTATTATTTAATTCCAGGAAAACATGCATAAAAAGGGTATCGAATAAATTTTTTTGTATTCCAGCATTATAAAAGAACCTTTTCTGTTGCAAAAAATCGTTCATAATCGGGCATTTTACGGCATAAATGATGAAGTATTAGATTTTATGTCACAATGATTGCGTCATCACAGATTAAGCCAATCGTAGCGAGAGAATCGGGGGGAGGTACAGCTAAACGGAACAGTCGACCACCGTTTACTCGCACGATGTCAAAAGCCCGAGTCGTCACAGGGAAGTTGTTTCGCAAAATTAAGTTTGATTCCCTTATAAATGTATAATGCTGTTATACAAAAAAATATAGTATGCAACTCGTTTATAATGTTGCTTTATTACATTCGTACAAATTTGAAAACGCTCCTAAAGTCGTTCGTTTTCAAAACATGTACTCATGCAATAAAGCTTAACATTATAAAGTAATTGCATACACTACTAGTACTTCTCTCGGTAGAAGACGCTTTTCGTGTTTCGACAGGACTCGGCCTATCGGGTGAACTCTACGGCCTCAGTGGGTGAACTCTTCTGTCTCGTCATGAAAAGTTCGACTTTCTTGCCTTGTGAAATAAAATACTATTTTCAAATTACGACAAGATGGTCGATAAACGAATTACTCTTGGCATCAACGGGTTGCTGATAAGAATTCAACTATAACTAGGTACATGCTGATATGAAAAAGGTTGCAAATAATTTATAAAACGTGTGCTGCACCAGCGTCGTAGTGTTAAAAAGGTTTGGCGAAAACACATAAGAAAGGTTTTGGGAAGTAAAATTACCAAGTTGTAAAACCTTAATATCCGTAAAACTCAAAGATGGGCTTTTTCTGATAGACGTAGTTAACTACTATATTTTGTCAATATTTTTCTTGGTTTGAAAATGTGTTTTATTGATTTTAATTTTAACTTTCCATTGATTTAAGAAGTATCTTTAATAAACGTAGGATCGGTATTCAGTAACAACGGTTGGTGAGTTATTTCTCAGCTGCCGCTATTAAAGTCAAGACGAGTCGCTGTGAACTTCCCGGCCACGAGGTCGGTACGGATCAGCGGCGTTCTGCTAACCATTAAACCGAATTCTTCAAGAGCACTTAGGGTGATTGAAAATGGTCACTTTTCCCGAATGAACATGTGGTGAGAAATCTCGTATCACTTACGTTAGTTACATATGACCCATTTTACATGGTGCCTCTTTCTTATTAAATTTACTGTCTTCCTGTTCAACATACATGTTTTTCAGGGTTGTGAATAGAAACATACATAACTTTTGGTTTACTTCTTAACTGTGGGTGCCCTCGATGGGTGCGTTCGATTTTTTTTGGTTTATTTTAATAATTGAAATTATTTTGGAAGTAAATTGAAACGGCAGACAATGATATGATAATTCAATGAAGGTCATATAATTTGAGGTAAATTTTCTGTTATTTTATGGTCGTTTGAATATGTTGTTAAGAAAGCGAGAATTTATGCCTAGATACAGTTCTGCTGTGCGTCCAAGGTTGGATATAGAGGTGCTGGAAGATGTGGAAAATAATGAGATTATTTCATAAGAATTCATGTTATCAATATTTACAAGAATATAATCAATAAGCCTCTTATTCATAAGAAACTCATTCTGAAATGGTGTTTGGCAGTTCCGTGAGCTCTCAGGAGACGACACGCCAGAGAAAATGTCAATATCGAGATTTGTCTTTATTGTTCAGATTTGAACTCGCCTCATACATCGTTACTGTCTGTGCATAAAACCCCCGGACCGTGAAATAGAGATTTTTCTCGTGTTTTTCACAGTCACGCTGGTTAATTTCACATCATCCACACTACTAACAAACGCTTTTCTTACTTGTTTTGTTAATGAAATGAAATTTAATCTCTAATGACCATAGTAATTTTAATTACTTTCGAAATTACTTCTCACGTACGATAATGTTAAGAAATGTGTGACGCAAAGAGGTCCGGCATTTGCTTTTTTAATTCCTACCCAATAATTCAGGGTTGTTTGGTTTCTCTGTCTTTTGAAAAAAATGAAGCAGAAAGGTAGAGAATATATAAAATCGAGAGAAAAGAAATAAAAGAATGAAAACAAAAAAGAGGAAGAAAAGAAAACGAAAATGAAAATAAAATCAAGAGAACCAATTTGACCTCTATTGCTTCGCGCACTGTCTACACTTGTTCCCTAGCCATATGCTCTCAAGTGAGGGTCCTTATAATTTAAGTACTACTGAACGTAGAAGTTGGGTTATTGCAGGCATTTGCTCGAGGTAGATTGAAAAGTAAAGT